AGGCCTTGCATCAAAAAAAAAGGGAAGCAGAAAGAGGGTGGTGGCTAAAGGAAGCGAGGTAGGAGGGCAAAATAGGTTTAGTGCCACCGCAGCACGGGAGTCAGAATTACGTCCAGGAGCAAAAAACATGAATCGATACTCCTGCGGATGTTAGGATAATTATCATTGGAGATGTGTGAGTTTATCACACCCTGGTATGGGCTGCCTGATGCGCGTCAGAACTGATGTTTTAATCGAATTATGGCAGTTCCTCTGTCTGGATTTATGGTAAAAATCTTCATTTTGTACGTGGCAAAGATTTGGCAATGGAATGAGAGCAATGTTTTATTTTGATAAGGCTGGAGCCATGAATGTCTACTCATCTGCTAAAGTGTATGATATAAAATAAGATGATGTGGCAGACTGGAGATGTATAAAATGCGTCTTTAACTGTTAATTGGGGTCACTTCCTGAGAGGTGAGCCTGGTGGGGAACAGCTGCCTTCTGTAACCCTAAGCAATTTCTCTGATCTGAGTAAGATTACAATTTCTATCAGAATCTGTTGTCATGTCTCCTGGTTATTTAATACATATAAGTTATGAAGTGTTATTTAAAGAGTTTGTCCCAAGTGATCTCTTCTCAGGGAAAAGAACCGGAAAGATAGAGCATTAAGGTGCATACACAGAACCTATCTTTAACACAAACGTGTCGATGCATCGGATCGTCGGCTGTTGGATCGATACAAAACGATTATTATTTACAACCCTAATCAGCATTAGGTGATGCTCCCTTTGGTAATCCAATAGCTTCATGTTTGGGGACCAAATTCTTGCAGGAGAGCAGTGCTTTTCCCCACAGAGCAGACTCTATCAGAAACACTTTAGAGATTAGCCTGCTGCTTATTCCAGAGAGACCAACACATCCACAATGGCTGAACGTGCAAAAAAAGCCTGTGAGCAGCATCAGGAGGAGAAGCCAAGATGTTGTAGTTGTGTTTCAGAAAATGGCGTAACAACACAACAAAAGGCCCGTAAGCATATTATTATTATTATTATTATCTGGGTGGGCCCCATATGAAGTACTGTAGCAGCAACGTCCATCATTCCCTCTTTTGTTCTTTGAAAGAATGTGTTTATTTTGTTAAGTTTTTTCCGTTCTTCCAGCAGCTCTTCTTTCCTTTTTCTTATCTGGAATCTGCTTAAGTACCTCATTATGGTATCCATCGTCGCTAACAAATTGTATGTAACCGTTATGGTTTTATCTACGCCAGGCATCCCCATAGTCGGTCCTTGAGGGCCGCTGTCCTGTAGGTTTTAGAGGTTTCCCTGCTTTAACACAGCTGATTATGATGATTGCAGTTGAGCAAAAGCCTATTCATCAGCTTTCAATTAAAACCAGCTGTGCTGGAGCAGAGAAACCTCTAAAACCTGCAGGACAGCGGCTCTCAAGGACCGACTTTGGGGATGACCGATCTACGCTCTGGATTACCCATTATTCCAAGTCATAGTGTAAAAGAGCGGTTTGAAACATATTATATGGGTGTATTTTCTTACCAAGCGTCTAATGAACTAACAGTTATTAACATAGTAATTAAAATTACCACTGTCTGCTTTGCTAATGGTGTCGTGTTTAAACGGCTCACCATCATGTTGAAATCTGGCATGTGTTGGGGTAAAAACAGGTGTCAGTGATGGGGCCCCTTAGTGGTCAGGGGCCCCTAAGCAACTGCAGCCTCTGCTTACCAATAGTTACGCCCTTGGTTTCAGGAGTTGTTATATCAACAAATTATTTTCTTTTTTTCCTCAAAATGTCATCCTTCAACCCAATACATGTCTCCTAACATGACTCACTTGCAGAATCAGTGGTTATCCATGGCCAGTGAGAGGTCTTTGACATGTGGTTGATTCTTGGATTGCTGTTCAAACTATAAATGCATATTTCTCACTAATGTGGTGACAGAACGAGGGAAAAATCCCCCAAACTGTTTGAGATTTACCAGCTACATTCATTGTTACAACATTAAAACCGACCAAATTAAGTATATTTTACTTACATCTCCAGAAAAACTAAAATACCTGGGGAGGTTTCTGTTTTGTTTCTTTAGTGAGACGTTTTTCCTTTATTCATGTTTTCTCATCTCCTATAATGTATTTATTATGGGAGACAAACAAAATGTCATAATGGGGAGTGGGAATTACATCCAACCCCTGTAGAAGAAGATAACTGTAGAATTTTGGTAGAAAATTAAGATAGTTGACTTCAGATTGCTTTACGGTATAAAATAATCCAAATTAAACGTTACCTTTTTCTCCTCGATGGCTTTTAGTAGGAAGTCCCGCTCACAGTTGGACAGCGGAGTATCCTTCATGCTGCAGGTTTCTATTTTATATTCACACTTTTAATTTCACCTCTCAGCAACCATGCGTACCGCCTTGTGTTTACACGCTTCGCGCATGCGCGGGTAAAAACGATTTACGACTCTTCTTCTTCTTCTTGTTTTATGGCGGTTGGCAAACAATTAAGAGGTGCATTACCGCCACCAACCAGTAATGAGTGTGGATCAAGACAGACATGCTCAAAAAAAAAAAAAAAAAGGGGAAAAAACCTAAATTCTTTTCACTAAACCTGTAGCCAATAAATAACGAAAAAGTAATCTTCCTTTAAATCTTCTTCCCACTGTTTTTGCCAATCTTCTCGGATCTTTCTTTTAAAAACTTTTAACTTCTATTTTACTCATATCAATTTTTATATCACTCTTACTTTGGTTTATTGCCACCTGCCTCAAGTTTTTGTATAACTTGATCCAACGACATATTCCTCATCCCCAAGAATTTTTCAGCTCCTTTAACAATGATTTTGATTTTCTCATTTTTATGTTTAACCTGGTCAGTGCAGTTAATTACATAAGCCACAAACAAAATAAGTTTGTCAAAGTCAACAGGGTTATAAACCCTGGCATGCTGCTCTGGTTCTCGCCTTAGTTCTTGAATGTTACTCACAGTTTCCTTTTGCTTTTCCTGAACCTTCTTTAACGCCTCAGCATAACTTAGATTGTTTGTTGATTTCACTTTTTGAACCTCAACTGCTTTCTTCCTAACTTCACACCCTCCATATGTTGCCCTGTGCTCTCCACCACAATTACAGCATTTAACCTGAGTATTTTCACCACATTCTTGTATTTTGTGCTCCCCTCCACATTTAAAACATCTCTGTTTGCCCCTGCACACTGCAGCAATGTGACCATATCTCTGACACTTGTAACACCGAAGTGGAGGAAGAACATAAGGCCTGACTGGATAGCACATGAAACCCACTTTAACTCTCTCTGGGACTTCTGGAGTAGAAAATTTCAGAAGCACAGATAAGCTGTCAACTCTCTCATTGTTCACTGTTTTCTGCAATCTCTTTATATCAATGACTTCAACATTATGGATGTTATGCTTTAATCTCTCCAGATCTTCATTAACCGGAATTCCGTAAATAACTCCTCGGGAATCTTTCTTTTCAACCAACACTCTTTTACTCTCCACTCTTTTCTTTCCAATGCTTTCAACACTCATTGCTTTCCTTTTATGCTCTTCTGATTTACAGACAATTAGCAAGTTTCCATCTCTCAGAGTTTTAGCCATTTCAACTTCCCCCACTTTCTTTTTTAGCTCCTTAGAGACTGTTACTGGGCTCAGAATAATATTTTCATCTTCCTTTCTGAATTTTAATATTATCTTCACCTCTTCTTTCATGATTTTTTTACGTACACCCTTGCTTCCATCATCTGTGCTTTCGTCTTCAAGGTTTCTTTTGATTCCTGAATTCTCACAAGTTCTGCCCGCTTCACTACTTTTGGATTTTCCATTTCTCCGGAAACTACCAACTGGCATCCAACTATCCATATCCGAATCACTTTCTAGCTCTTCCTCATCCTCTACAACTTGAGCCGCCGTCTTGATCCCACAAACTGGCTTTTGACTCGGATCAGTGTCATTGTCATCGTCTCCTTCTTCCGACGAGGACCCCCAAATTATTTCGCCGTTTGAGTAGGCTACAGGACTTGGCATCTGTTTTCTTCGGCGACTAGCTAAAAAATCAAACTCCAGCTCTCAACATCAGGCGCTAACTCCACAGCGACGCTGCAGCTGCTTTCTCTCTCAGATGTCCGCCCCGAGGGAGGAGTTAAGCTACTAAAACCGATTTACGACTCTAAAGCCCGATAGGTTTATTTATAAAATGTATTACCTAAGCTACAACGTTTAATCACTGGATTTTCTGTAACGTGAGTCAGTTATTATAGGAAATGAAGCCTGACGCGTTAAATCATCCAAAACCTAACGTAAAAATTATTTCAGTTTACGACAGATGCTGCATTCACTGTCAGCGGGAAACCCCGAAACGCCTTCCGTTTGAAGAATACAGCAGTATACAGTACCAGCGGGGGCGGAGCTCGATGCGGGGCCCTACCATTTTTACCCCTCCAATACAGATAGTGGCAGCAGTAATACTCTCAAGTGAAATATTCAAAACATTTAATTTTTTTGTGGTTAATTATGTATGTCAATATATTAACATCAAAGATGATAAGTATAGAATTCCTGCTCTTTTCAGAACTCAAATATAGATTTGGTGCTGCACGCACAGTTAAAGGGCTCCACAGGGCTTTCTGTCAGAGTGGTGGTGGAGAGGTAGCCCATTTTCCCATCAATGTTTTATGTAACCATTTTTTTTTTTAAATCGATACTAAGAAGTGAAAGATCGATATTATATTGGGCAGCCGAATATCACGATATATCGCCAAAACGATTATTTCCCACACCCCTAATTATCTAAAATTACGGGTGTTTAAATATATGCGTCTATTTGTTAGCAAAGGCTGTAGGAAAGTATAGTTTGTTTTCTGAATTTTTTCCCATATTAAACTGAAATAATATTTAAAAATCGGTAAAAAAAAAAAAATTCCCCAGGGGCCCTTATCCTCTTCTGTAGATTTTGTCTCATGAGAGGTTGTTTTTTTTTCCGCCTGTCCTCGAACGCATCACTGGCTTTACCGTTATTTTGACCAAGCTGTCACTCACGCTCCCTCAGATATCTCCCTTTCCCTCTGAAACCGAAGCGGGACAACTACTCAGGATTCTGACACATAGAGACAGATTTTTTAAAGGATTTCTCCTCTGCGGTTAAAACATCTCATAAGGTTAGTGTTTGCTTCTCTGTAAGTCTCTACATATCATCTAATGCGACATTAATGCTAAGTTAGCCTGCTAGCAGCTGCTATTCATTCATTTTTACTGTTAAAACAAATCCTGTTTTGAAGCTGTTGTTCTATTTTGTATATCATACTTTCTAGGTCCAAAGCCAAATGTGTTTAATGAAGGTTGTGACTGTATGAGCTAATTATTTTTATCCGCTGAGCCGCATATTTTGCTGCTGTCAGTGGAGAGGCGCTGTTAGCATCCAGCAGCAGGTGCTGCGGACACAGCCGCTCATCTTGAAGCCGTTCGGGCCACTGCGGTCCTCCACGGCAGCCATGTTGGCTCTACATCCATCCCATCAGCTTTATTTATAATTTTTTTTCTTTTCACACGCTGTCATTAATATTGCATCTGCTAAAGGTGGGCGTTTTCTACCAACAAATAAAGACTTTATCAGCAGCGTTATTGGAGAAAGTATAACAACAGACAGCTTGGAGAATTGAAGCAGCTTATTTGCTTTGCTTCGATGCAAGATAACATACTGTATCATCACATGTAGGTGTGATATAATTATTAGTTGATCTGATAAGACATGAAGCTGCTTCTATGTGAAGTGTTTATATATATTGACTTAATGTCTTTAAATTTTCTCCAAGCCTTTAATCTATTTCATTCTGATATTTGCCATTTATTTGGTCTTATTTCAAGTGCATTCTATTCTCTTGTCTGTTTCTTGCTTAAAGCTGGACTATAAAGCATCAAAACCTTTGAAAAAAGCTGTTCTACCCTTTAGAGTAACATAGGAAATATAACATTCCTAGCTTGCAGTCAGGGGCTTAACAATATTCTTTCCTTTTACAATGTTGTTTCTCCAGAATCATTAGTTTCCAAACGATTAATTTTTCCCTTCTTTTATAGAATGGAAACCTGTAGTTTCCTTATTTCAGCCAGCTTACTGGCAGTGCACATCTGTTTGGCCATTCTTGGTCTCATATTCTTTATTCAGAATATCAGTTTCTTCCTTCAGGTCGACGTCTTAGAGTTACTGCCTGTAGATTGAACCGCTATAAGAACTCATTTGTTCCGCTTTCCATGAAGGCAATAAACGGGATTACGCAGTAAATTGTGGAATAGGCAATGGTATTCAAAATCTAAACTAAGCTGACATGCTTTTTTACGTATTCATTATCTCACATAACAAATTTTTTTAAAGAAGGGTTTTTATAAATTTTTTCTTTCACTTTTTTTTTATTGTGAATGTAATGTAATACGCTTCCTTATGTATTTATTTATTGTCTTATAATGGCATTTTTATAGCAGTGTTTTTGAATGCAGTGTGACACATAGTTTAGACCATGTAGCTGTACCCAAATCAAATTTCCTTTGGGACAATAAAGTTAATCTTCTTAATCATAATCTTTGCTCTCTCCAGGAAATCATTTGTCGCTTAACCAACTTGCCAGTATACATTTATTTTTTTTCTCCCCATCAAGTTGGATGCACAGATCCACATTTTTTCTCTTACGATCTGATTCCAATACTTTCATCTGCAGATTACAATAGTTTTCCAATACCAGAGCTTTGTTTGCTTTCATGTTATTTCCATCCTGAAAATAAAATATGCAAACTGACTGTATTTACTGAATTAGAGACAGATGCCCATAAGGGCTTAACTTTCCTGCTGTTTAAAAAGATTTTTAGCCAAACTTATATTTGTCATAGAAATATACTGAATGGATCAGCTCTAATGGATTGGGCTGATTTTCACCACTAACTGATCTATAATTTCTTCAGTATTGGGAGCGATGCAGATACCAATCAGATCAGTACATCACTAATGAGAAACTAATCATTTTTTTGAAACCCTAGGTTTTTAATGCCTTGTTTACCACTGGTAAGCTGGTTTCCATGCATTTACCTTATTAGCTGCTTTATAAAATGGCAAAAGTAGCTCAGTTTGACAGGACGATTCCCAGGCAGGTCAAAATCTGCTGCGTTACTTCCTAGTATGTTGCATCACGTTTTATATTTGACCCAAAAGATATAAAGAGGCTACTCATAAAAAGTATTCATAGAGGAGCCACGGATAAACTGCTGCAGAAGATTTTTTTATTTTTTCTGTTACAGTAACAGCAGTAATACATTTTTCTGTACTTTCTTAGTTGAACTGTTTTCTTGTTCTTAACTCATTAAACATACCAGCCCTTGTTACATGTAGAATTATCTGGGACAGAAATATAGAAAAAACATAATAAAAATGTACAGAAAAGCCTTTGAATGTTGTTTAAAACTGGTGAACTGCTTCTAGATAAATGATGAAGAAGGAAAGGATAAAACCAGATATCATCAATGGATTCCCTCTCTAATAGTTATATATTAACAACAGTTTGCTTATTGAGGTCATAGTGGTGCCTGTTGCTTTGTCTCTAGATTTCAGAGCCAGATCATCAGATCTCTTCCAGCTCTGCTTGTCATTGTTGCCTTCTGGTCCTAAGAATAATTTTGTCAACTGTATGGGTTACAGTTACCTATAAGCTTCTCCTTATTATGTTCCCCTTCAGGGTTTCACTCACAGCTGCTGTGGTGATTCTATTAAACACGTTGGCGCAAACTGAGCACTTAGATGAATGCTAAAGAGCCATAGAGGGGAGTTTTCCTCACTGCCTCCTCAGTTAGTAACAAGCAGATAAACATCTCAATGAAAAGTATGATTTATCAGGGGAAGCCTGGAGCTTTGCTGGTGTCCACAGTGAGGATTTTCATTTCCTGCTCCTAAACCAAACAGAGCCAGGCTGAGCGGATCCAGATGAAGTTGCAGATATCTGTTATAAAGGAAATATTGAGCAGATCTTCAATGCTGTTTATATGCATGCAGCTCCTTGGTTATAAAGTCATTAAAACCAGAAATCTAAAAGAGGAAATCTGCAATTAGTCACATACACTCAGTGTTTCTGGATGTTATATTTATGGGAAGGTTTTTTTTATAGCTAAAATAAATCGAACTGTATGTCACAGACTCTGCTGTCGTGACACAGACTTGTGTAACTTCTATATCTCATCCAGTCACTCCTCTAACATCTTAAATGCTTGATGTTCTTTTTTTTTATTGCTGACAAACACTTCGCTATGAAGAACATCTCCTATATCACCACCTCCTTGTGTTGTATGTCTGGTTCCTTCTTCTCAGATGAATCTAGGTGCAGGCTGGGTGTGGCGCCTGCTGTTCCTTTCCTCTATGGTCTTGGCGGCCATCGCATCTAGCCATGAGCATCCAGAATCGGAAGCTCTGGGCAGCGATGGGGGTCTAGACGAGGAGGAGCTGCAGGTTCTCATGGCAGATGATGATGAAGAGGAGGAAGCAATGGTGACAGATGAAGAACAGTTTGAGGAGGATAAAGACGGAGCTGAAACGTCTGAAATTGACGCTAATGTTACCTTCCAGGTGGGGAACATGTCCAAGAATAAGAGCATGTTTGGATTTTAAACCTTTGAGTTTGAAATCTGTCTCCACCAATCGCAGGTGACGTACAAGACTCCTGTTCCCACTGGAGATGTGTATTTTACAGAAACGTTTGATGATGGATCACTGGACAGGTATACCAGGGGGTCTGATAAAACTCTGATGGATTTTAGTGATGTTGGGCTTTAGGTGTGCCTAACAGAGTTCTATAACATCCATGTTGGCAGATGGCAGCTATCAAAAACTATGAAGGAGGATGCTGATGAAGACATCGCCAAATATGACGGTTTGTATCTTTATCTGTTAGTCCCTACTGTCTGTTATTTCATCACAGCCCAGATGCATTGCTAATGTAAATGACATATTGAACAATGACAGTGCTTTTAGCTGCCTAAAGCGGTTATTTTAGCTTAGATTGAGTTCTTTATGTTCTCGCTTGTGTTTGCTGTTGAAGATTCTCAGTCATCCAGGTCATAGTCATAACAAAAAAAAAAAAAACCCACTGGACTTTGCTTTCCAAGTTTGGAAATGTTTCGCTTCCCATCCAGGAAGGTTTCTCAATTCAAAATGTCTGGATTTGCTTTGAGGTAGAGGATTTATAGAGTCGTTATGGGAGTTCTTAGCTATGGGAGTCCCCACTATCATCTCAACCCTCCATCACTATGAAGGGGACCAAAATATCTCTCCTGCTCAGCCAGGCCAACAATAACCCTTACTACTCCATTTTCAGAGGCATAAGCCAGTATCATCTCTTGCAGGACAACAATGACCTCAACTACTCCCCATCACTGAGGGGTGGACCTGTTTTTTCAGCTCAATTGGCATTTTTTCTAAGCCATAACAAGGCTCTGTAGGGCTATGCTATAAAGTATATAACTCAACGCTAATCCAGTCATTTTTAATTGAGAAAGCGTCAAGGATGGGAAACGAAACGTCTTCAAACTTGGAAAAGAAAGTCCGGTGGTTTGTTTGTAACTTTTTTAATGTTTTTGTAACTCCCTTGTATCTGTCTTCTTTCTTGGTTGCCTGCAGGAAAGTGGATGGTGGAGCCACTGAAGGAGAACAAGGTTCCAGGAGACCAGGGCCTGGTGCTCAAGTCTCGGGCGAAACATCACGCCATAGCTGCGATGCTGGACAAACCTTTTGTCTTCCAGGATGAACCTCTGGTAGTCCAGTGAGTTGAAAAGAACACACCCGTGCTGTTATTAATAAAACAGACAGGCTCAGAGGTTTAGTCCATGTTTGTTGGTTTTACTCCAGGTATGAGGTGAATTTCCAAGATGGTATTGACTGTGGTGGAGCGTACATCAAACTGCTGTCAGACTCTGGCAGTCTCAGTCTGGTTGGTATCTGGTTGATAAATTAGTGCGGTTAGCCTCACAGATGGTCAGATTACAGATTTAATTGGGATACTTGATTTCATCCTTTTTGTTCCTCCAGGAACAGTTCCATGACAGGACGCCCTACACCATCATGTTCGGACCCGACAAATGTGGAGAGGACTACAAGCTGCACTTCATCTTCCGCCACAAAAACCCCCTGAACAAAGACATGGAGGAGAAGCACGCCAAGAGGGCCGACGTGGACCTGAAGAAGTTCTACATAGACAGGAAGACCCACCTCTACACCCTCGGTATGTGGCTGATTAATGAGGAGCGTCTTTTTTTTTTTTTTTTACATTTTATTTATCACTTCTGTTTCCTTTTAGTCCTGAACCCGGACAACAGCTATGAGATGTTCATCGATCAGTCCAGCGTGAGCCGTGGGAACCTGCTCTCCGACATGGTGCCTCCTGTAAACCCGCCCAAGGAGATCGACGATCCAAATGACTCCAAGCCGGACGACTGGGACGAGCGGGCCAAGATTCCTGACCCTGAGGCTATGAAGCCTGATGACTGGTAATTATATCTACAGATATTACAGAAGTACAGCAGTCTGTGTACCCTCCAGACCTGAACACCATCCATGCAGCAGTTCTAAGAAAATATGAGCGATGGCATGAATCTTTGCTTTGCAGGGACGAGGATGCACCTGCAAAGATTGAGGACCCTGATGCCTTAAAGCCTGAGGGCTGGCTGGATGACGAGCCAGAGTTTGTCTCTGACCCGAACGCAGAGAAACCAGAAGACTGGTGGGTCTTAGAGCTGACCAGCAGCCCCTAAGTGGGTCCTCTAAAACAAAGTGATGAGCAGGGCTGATTGCTCTTTGCTTGGGTTGCAGGGACGAGGAGATGGATGGAGAGTGGGAGGCACCGCAGGTTCCTAACCCAGCCTGTGAGACTGCCCCTGGCTGCGGGGAGTGGAAGAAACCAATGATCAACAACCCACAGTATAAGGGCAAGTGGAAAGCCCCTCTGATTGACAACCCCAACTATCAGGTGACAGGAAATCCTCCATTCAGCTGCCTGTATCTGTGTACATGTTCTTACCCTGAAACCTTCTGCTTCGTCTCCTCTGAAGGGAGTGTGGAAGCCACGGAAAATGATGAACCCCGAATATTTCGAGGACCTGCATCCCTTCAGGATGACACCTTTTAAAGCTGTGGGTCTAGAGCTTTGGTCCATGACCTCAGACATTTACTTCGACAATTTCATCATCACGTCTCATAAGGAGGTCGCTGACCGCTGGGCCTCAGACAGCTGGGGGCTGAAGAAACTGGTGGCAAGTGCCAACGAGGTCAGTGAGGGAAGGTTGGACAGAGTTTCTGTGTTTCAGGGAGGGTTAACAGTTCCACTTCATCTCTGATATCCTGTTTTAATCCCACCAGCCGGGGATATTTGCCCAGCTGATGATGGCAGCCGAGGAGCGACCCTGGCTCTGGATAATCTACATCCTGACAGTCGGCCTCCCTATTGGCCTGGTTGTGCTCTTCTGTTGGCCAAAGGTAGCAGAAAAAACACACAATCTCTACCTTTGTTCTCAACTTTCTGCAAATAATTTCTAAAAGGTCCTATTTGACACTTCCAGAAACCTGTAGATGACTATGTGTACAAAAAGGTCGAACTACCTCAGGCTAGAATAGAAGAGGAGGATGAGGAGGAGGAAGAAGAAGAGGAAGGGGCGGCAGACGAGGAAGACAAAGAAGCTGAACCAGCAGCAGGTGTGACCTTCACCTGTTGGGGTTTATTCACCTGATCGTCTGTTTTACTGCAGCTTTCTTCTTCAACCTCATCATTCTTACCTTTTTATTATGTAAAGGTGAAGGTGTGACGGAGGACAATGGTGCACAAGAGGACAATCAAGAGGGGGCAGATAATGGAGAAGAAGAAGAGATGGAGGAAGAAGAGGAAGAGGAAGAAGCTGAGGAAAGCAACACTCCAGAAAGAACATTAGAAGATGAGGTACATGTTTGGTTACCAGCAGAATGCATCATCTCAGGTCCATCTAACTGAACAGGCACACAGCCTGTAACACACAAGCAAAAGCAGGCTTAAGAGTTTTGACGAGTAGTTCAGAGCAGGTAGCAGACATCATGCAGAGGACTAAAGACTGATGAGGTATTGAAAGATTATTTTACAGGTTTTAAGTCAAGAATAATAAATTAGTTCTTAAACAAAGTTCTGAGCAGCAGTTAACTGAGGTTTAGACAATATCTGATTTTAGGACCATTAGCCTGTCCTACCGACAGGGTAGAGGCCCATCTGTTGAACTGCTATTATATAGGTTTTAATGAGTGTGACCAGACGTCCTCTTTTTCCAGGACATGTCCTACTTTCATACCTAAAAAAAATGCCCGGGGGGAATTTCAGAATCGTCCGGGATTTTGGTCGACTACGGTGCAGCAGAGCTGAGCCGTCAGCACCGTGGTAAAGTTAGTTTGAAGTTGGATACTGGATATTCAAGCTCTGCAGAGTCAGTGGGAACTAGCAAACGGTTGATCCGACTGAGGGACTCCGATGTCGGCCGGCGTCTCTCAGCTGCTCCCTCCTCCCACGCGCTGTGGTGCATTTAGGGACCGTCAACAAATCTTTGAACCAAGCACTCTTGAGAAACAAAAATCAATAAATTCCTTATCTTGTGACCAGCTAAGACCAAACGAATATAAAATCACGGCAATAGATAACATATGTAACACTTGCTTTTATGCAATTTTAAGCTATTTTCAATTTTTTAGATATTTTTAAAGACAAATGTTGGGACTTTTCTTCAATAGCTTCCAGGTCATGTGACCTAGTGACTCAAATTCTTTGGGAAATTGTTTTATTACATTAGCCTGATGGGGCACACTCATTTTTATTTAATTTTAAGCGTATATATAGTTTTAAACATTTTTATTACAAAAATAATTGATATTTCTTCAATAGACTTCAGGTCATTTAAAGCCTTTATAAGTATTTTTGGGCAGGTGGGGGGAAGCATACTGTCACCAGTCGGGTTCGGTCGCTCCATCCCTGGCTGGCTCTGGACCGGGACCAGTCCTGGAGCTGATGGCTCGGTTCAAATGCCCAGTCCGGTCCAGTCAGCCCCCTCCCCCATAAACAAAAAAAGAGTCCTCCTTTTCAGAAACCCAAATCTGGTCACCCTACTTTAATGATGGCTCTATAACATCCAATCATAGTCCTCATCATAATATTAATGACTGCAATATTTGGCTGGATTCCATATTTGATTCAGTCGCTGTGTCAGTTGCTATTTATGGCCCAACAATGCTAACAGGGAAATGCTAAAGCTAACAGAAATAACAGATAAAGGTGTGTTAATCAGAGGCCTATCTTTGACTATACTTGCCTTGATTGAAGATTCAAACTTTTCTCAAAGGGGTCAAACCTTAACATTATTGTAATTGTTTGAAGTTATTTCAATGAAAAAATCATCCCATCAATTTATTCCTCCTTTCATGGGAGAGGAGGCAGCAGGCTCCTAACTGTCCAGCAGAAATTCCACAAAAAAATTAATTGATTACCAACTAAACCAGTTTTTAATGATGGCATTCAAACCAATCCTCTTCTTAATGTAAATGCCTTCACTATACTTTAATACTTTATAACCGATTAACCCAGTAATACATCTAGCTTCTCCAAACTGATATTTTGCTTAAAACTACGCTTCAGAGCCTCACTTTAATACTGAATAGAAGACACTTAGCCTTTGCAAATTCAACTCTCCTTTCAAATTTAATCCAGAGAGGACTGAGGAAAAACTGTAAATGTTACATTCAGATGCCTGTGAAAAACAGTTATGTATATATAAATCTATATATAACTTTTTTGAGGATTTTGACTGACCTAACCTAAACTTAACCTGAAGTGAATCGTTTGTCAACTTTAGCTTCTGTTTGGGTTTCAGCAGGGAGATGAAGGCAACGTTGCTGAAGAGAGCCACAAACAAGCCGTCAGAAAGAGGAGGGTACGGAAAGACTGAGGCCAGCCTCATACCCGCCATCTCTTCTCCTCCGTGGGAGAGAAGGTGAAAGTGGTCTTCTCTGTTCTAGCTGCTCTCTCCTCCCTGAGTGGAGCAGCGTGGCATTTCCTCCAACCCAGACGGTAGCCTGCAGTCACCCGGCCGCCCCATCTGTGTCTCAGCTCTGAACCACCTAGCCCAGGTTTTCAGCCTCAAAGACCCACACACCCCGTTCCATGTCTCCCCCTTCCTCCCATCTGCTCTGTGGGAGGAGCCAGCCAGAGGTGACGTCTTCTTGTCCCCCCCCGTCTTCCACCGTCTCTAGCCTCCGTATCGTTTCCAACCTTCATCTGTGTCAGACGTCAACATCTTCCTCCTGTTTTTACCTTCTCTCTCCACAAACCATCCACCTGCTGTCCTTAAAGCAGCACAGCCTCAGGCTGCTGTTAACACACTTTATAATTTTACGGCAAACGCAGAGTTTTATTCACGTCTGTTCTTCATTTGAGGGGAAAGTTTCACAATAATTGTCGTTTCAAAACACTGAGGCTAGAGTGAAGGCTAACCAGTCCTCCTCAGCTTGGTTTAAAGAATCCAGCTAAGAAAACCAATATTGCATTTGCTGTTTTGACTTTTAGCTAGTTTGTAATGAGCATCTTAACTTTTTTAATGTGAAGTTGAAAATGAGCTCCGATCTTCTATTTATTGGTTTGAATTTGTTTCACGCCGTTATGAATAAAGGTTTAATATTAAAGATCTGAGCTCCATGTGTGACACTCATTTGCTTTGAGCAGAGGTCTGAAATATGAACATATATAAATAACTGATCTAGGCTTGTAGCAAAAGTAGACTTTTATTTTGCCTTTCTAATTAATTGTGAGAAAGGAAACCAGATTTCTGATATTTTAAAATAAACCTAAATGCAGCAGTGCTTTCTTAAAACAGCTCTCCAAGCTCATTGGCTGGGAGAGATGCTGGCCTTATATTAATGTCTGAAGAGTTTGTAATTGACCCTTCTGCCAAATCTTAGCTCTAAATCCTGTTTACAGTTTGTATATTCGCTCTTGGAAGTAAAACTAACAAAAAGAGAGAAATTTTGTCCATTTTGATAATTTTTTTTATTTTACATAGACCTGTGCAGATATGACGGAGTGATATTTGAGAGCTTTTATTAAAACAAAACAAAATATTCAAAGGCAGTTTGACTCTAAACATGAGCAGGAAGTGACTAAGGGGGAATTTAGAATGACACACAGTATAAACATGACCTTGACCGGCACAGATAATGTTCCACCCACCTCCCTGAAGTCGAACATTTAGGTGACAACTACACACGAATGATGTTCATCAAAGTAGGCCATAACCATATTTAGGGGAAAACATACCTCGTATTAAAAAAGGTTTGTATTTGTACGCCCCATTAACTCAGAAACATTTTAAATCCAGGTGCACACATGGATGCCCTCCATGAGATTCTGATAACTTGCTAAACAATAGTTTTAACTCTGGGAGAACTGCAGACAAATAGGTGAGTTTAGTAACCAGTAATGCACTAGAACTGCTAAAGAACTTTCAATCATTTATGAACGTATTTTAATCAATTAAATCTTGGACTCAACAGTTTTAAAGAAAATCTACCTGCTTTCACCTTTTGACGTGTAAAGATCAGCTGGAGTTTCTTCACAATAATTCATTACTCCCAATATTTTCCTCTAATGCAGGCCATACCTTTCAGGATTATTTATTTGCCATATAGTCTGAGAACTATTCCTTCTTCTTTACAATCATACACTTCTATATGTTGCTTAATCCTTTTATACTTCTCGTCTGTATATTTTCTGCGTGGATAACAGACACGCCCTGACTGCCGGCGCGCTATGAAGATGACTTCCTGACCAAACCGATCGGATCAATACCACTTAGAGCCCTTCTAGCAGCTCTGAAAGCATCTTTCTTTCTTTCTCATGTTACTTCACCTGTTCTATCTTCCTCCATCACAAGTAGAGGAACCAAAAGCACTAAATTTAAACTCGATTTAGCTTCATTTATAATTTCTTGGTTAAAACTGAAACTTAAAGAGTTCTTTTAGTAGCGATCCAAACACTGCTTGTGACGTCTTTAGCTTTTAGCTTCTGTGCTTTTCTGCCATCACTGAGCTCTGGAAGCTGATTTCCAAGCATCACTAAAGATTCCTCAGCTTTATCCAGTTTAGAGCTAAATTTAATGACAGTTCATTAGATATGTTAATACTTATTCCTTATACATGCTGTTGTTATACAATTGTTCATTCTGCATAACACTGGTCAGCTAATGAGCTGCAAGCAGAGGAATACAGTTGGAAACACGAAGGGGGGAAAAAAGACCAACTGAAGTACCAGATCCAGCTGTCAAACAACATATTTTACAAAATAAATAAAATTTATGCTGATAAGTTTCTTTGTAACATTTTTTTTAATGTTTAACTTAATTTTGAACATTACGTTTAGTCGAGACTCAACGAAAATGTCCCAAATGTTGGTGCGTTCAAATGTAAACAAAACTTTTTACAAACACTATTTTCATTATTTACATTAGTTTAGTTCTGACTCGGGTAAAATGGTTACAGGAATCCCTCCCTCCCGCCTTCTCCGTGTCCCTGGAAATCCACCGTGCGCGTCTGACACAGCCTCACTTGCGCTTGCTCTTGGTGTCGGTGGTCTGGAAGACGCTGGAGGCCGACATCAGGTTCTCGATGTACTGACCCAGAACCTGGTTCTCTGACTTTAACTTCAGGTTCTCCTCCTTTACTGCGTCGACTCGAGCAGACAGGTCTGAAACGTCCGAATGAGAGACCTTAGAAATCTGCTCCAGCACATTTATCTTGGAAAATGTGAAACTGAAAACTGTATTTAAACTGAATCAAACCAAACTTAGTTTTCCTGAAAGATATTCATACCCTGAACTTTTTCACATGTCATTTTTGGGGGATTTTATGTGATAAGCTAACAAAGAACAACAAATCTAAATGACATTAAAACAAAAAAACAAGATACCAGTAAGTAGAAATAATCTCCATGTAAATAAACTCCTGTAGCTTTATGAGAAGGTAAAAGAACAATTAAATCCATCACCTAAAAACGGATCAACTGCAAAGAAGAACAACCTTCAGAGGAGCACTCAGACCTCTAGTAACTCTGGAGGAGCTGCAGAGTTCCACAGCTAAGGAGGGTGAGTCTGACAGCCCAACCCTACATTATTTACTAAACAACTCAATCTAGCTGTCATAGCAGAGGGGTCTAGTTATCAGGAAAATAAATTCTTCCACATAGCTAACTAAATTAGCTCTGGTTGGTTAAATATGTCCCGCAGTTAAAATTTCTTGAAAGCTCCTGCCGACCTTCCAGTGTGTGCTGCAGCTCCAAAACCTGATTGATCAACCTCGTCTTCTCCTCCATCTCAGCCTGGTTCTCCAGGTCTCCTGAAACACACAATAATTCAGTGTTAGCAATAAAATAAAAAACACCTAACAAATAACATTTCCTGCTAAACTGCAGGACTCACCATCTATGTCACAGTTCATGATGAAGAGATCGTCCTCCTGTTTAGTATACAGGGCTGCAGATCCACTGTTGGCTAACGGAGAGAAACGCAGGTGAAGTTCAGATGTGCTGCTTTGCAATTCTTTAAAAGTTTTACATCATTTACAATTTTTTTTGTGTTTTTTTTTTCCATGGCTCCTGTTGCAGTATTTCAGGCATACCATATACAGAAGCTACTTGTCTAAATATAAAAATAAATCCCAGGAATATGGAAGTAAGTAAGCAGGCTACACTGATTTAATGATAACCTGTGTTTGATTATTTTAGTGTGCTGTAGGAAAGCTTAACATGTATGATTCATTTGGATGTTATTTAGGGTACATATATTTTTTGGGGATTCACCTGCCTAGAGCTAAAATATTACCCCATGTCTGGTATTAATAAAAATCACTGACTAATTTGGATCTGATGGGAAATCAGCTCTCCGCCAGCTGTGTGTCTCCTTAATAAATCCGTTTCATTTAAATTCATGGGTTTTAGGCAACTCTTTTAAAAATTTGACCTCATCTTTGTTTATCATTGGGAAATATGGTCACCTCGGGTTAGAGGTTAATAAGACCATCATCATCATCAGACACTAGATTTGACCAGCAGGTGTAATTTCCTAAATACACTCTGCCTTTTAATGCTTTAATAATTCATAATATTCTTCTTTATACGGCTGGTTATAGAAGGTAAACAGCAAAAGGGAGGAAAGCGAGTTAATATGAAGACCTTCAAATGTACCAAAAATTAAAGATGGTTAACTTTTTTTTTTTTTTTTTTTTGCAATAAATTAAATTGGAGCAAAATATTTTGAGACTAAACTGTTTTATATCAGGAAAGTTGATTAACAAATGATAATACTAAAGAAATCTATCTTTTATAATCCATTATCTGTATAAATGGATATTATCAGGTTTTATTTGGAAACAGGATGAGAGCTCAGGTGCCTCTGCTTTGATGATGAGGATGAGGATGAGTACCGCGCCCTGCATCAGAGGTGAACCCCTGTCTGCTTTCTGCTGACAGGATCTCTATCACTGCTCAGGTTGATTATTGAATAATGCAATCAACCCTGGAGAGAAATAAACTACCTTGTGAACAAAAAAATAAACACCGTGAAACGTCACATTTAGGCCAAACGAGAAAAGGGTGAAAACGTGTCCGATAATGGGTGCGCTTAGCTTAGCCATATTAGCCAACTAGCTTCGCAGCTAACCCCTCCTAACATCAGATACAAGGTTAATGAAAAGCAAGAAGCGAGGGTTATAAACTGCGATTTTTGACTCAGGTAGAAAGGTAACAAGTCAAATTAAACACTGGTGTTAAGCTGGTATTTAAAGCCATCGTCTGCTAATGGCGACTGTTAGCATTCTATAATCCGTTTTTAACAGCAAGTTGGACGTTTTTCTTACAGTTTTTTGGGAAACGGAGGATTCTTACTCACCTACAGTTAAAAGAACGACCTTTTAGTGTAGTCAAGTTGCTCTATGATGTTTTACTCAACCGAGTTGAAGATGGAGAGAGATGACGACAGTTGATATTAAAAAAAACAAAAACCTCCACCGGGTGTTTTTATTTTTAAGATCTACCAACAGGGGGCGCACTATCAGCAGCTGACAAGCGGGTAAAGCAATGAGAGAAGCAGCCTCTGTCTGCCTGTATGGCAAGCCATTATAGCATTTATCTTGTACCCTTTTTTTTCCCCAGAGGTCATTGTCTTTTGCACAAGAGTGTAACTTTGTGAGGAAAGTTGGTGGGACCACTCTCAGGGTGGTGGCTGATGGACCTATAGTTACTCCACACAAACGCTCTCAATAGGGTTTGCATTTTCCAAAAAGGACCTAAAACATATATTTATTGAATTAATGGCTTTCCTATTTTTGAGAACAAAAAAGACCCAAAATACACTTACATTTATATTTATAGATAGACATTAATGTGTATTAAAAAAAGGAGGAATAACAGCTGATTCAGATGCAAACAGCAATATATCATGCCTCCCTAGTATGTACACAATTTCAGTTTAATTCATCAATCCATCAGTCCATCCAGAAAACTGTGGATTGATTGATAAATATTTTTCACTTTAAGCTACATTATTGATTATCCTCCTTCAAAAGCAGCAAAATAAAATTTAGAAATTTGTCCCACATATTACCAAAGTCTATGTATAGAAATTATTGGTGGGGACATGTCCACACCAGTCCTTCAGAAAGTTACGAACCTACTTTTGCTTGTTCTGCTCTGCACTACAGTAAAAAATAAAAAAAACTTTTACTTGTATATAGCCTGGCAGAGCTTTGGAAACAGCTGTGGACACACACAAAAAAGCGTTAGTGTCCTTATGCGTTCTGATTCAGGATTAATATTATAAAGATACCTAAATCTTTGATCAGATTAGAGTGTAGCCTACCAAAGGAAAACATTTCTATTACAGTAATTTCAAAACATGTATATTATCTTCCTCCCTGTATTTCTCTTATGTGCTCCCTGTAGTCTGTGACCTTAAACATTTTAGGCAATACCATTTGTTGTGAGAAAGCTTGAAAAATACAAATTCACAACATTGGAAATATATTAGCAACAATTATTGCTATCCAAACACTAATGTCCATTGTAAACATTGTGCCAATTAGCATTACAAGGAAAATATATTCCCACTAAATTGGGAGCCTTGCTTACAAATTTCATACAGTAAATTTCATACCCCGTATAGATGGTGCCACATCTGTAAGGACAGACATAAAGATGAAGGGGACCAAATTTCCTTTCTTGCTGCTAAAAGGGTCCAGACCGACTATAGAGTACTGGATCAAATTCCATCACCGTGCTGACCTGTTTGTTGTCTATTTAAAAGTATTGCATTGCTGTATAAGGCACTATTTTTTTTTACATACATTTTAGAGTTTCTTGTTAAGTAAGAACTTGAAGAAATGACCCAATGTTTCCAGGATCAATAACAAAAGGGTGTCTAGTGTCTCAGTGTCTAGTTTGTATCTCTACAATTGAAACTGACTCCCTGAAAACCACAGTAAAACAGAAAATTATGGCTCCTTTAACATTTTTTGTTTAAAACAGCTGTTGATAAAAAAAAAAAAATCCAACCAATGAAATGTCTGCCTGATCACTGATTATTAATTAAAGCATGACATTAGAGATTAAATTCTGATTCAAACCTCAGTTAAAAATTTTGCTCTTAATCTTAAGTTTATGGTTTTCACATCCCATTGTGATGTCTCATATAGAATGTTTGTATAAATAAACTTGCCTTCTTGACTTGCCTTTTTTTGGCATGTTAGAGGCGATGCTTGAGGTGTTGCATTAAAAACCTTCCATTTCCATCAGAAACATACAAATTAATTTCCAGAGTAGCAAAATTCCTCTAATTCTCCTGACACTTAGCGAAATAATTAGTTTATCTCAAGTGACCTCCACATGATACATGAAGTCTGACTGTAAAAAAGGACACGCTCTTTGAAGGGTCATGTTCTTTGAATTTTTCAGGGCTTTCAACACCATCAGACCAGAGCTGCTGAGAGGGAAGCTAGAGGATACTGGAGTGGACAGACATCTTGCTGCCTGGACCATCAACTACCTCACCGAACCCCCTTAGTACATGCGGCTGCATGGCTGCCAGTCAGAGGTTGCAGTCTGCAGTACTGGGGGCCCCCCAGGGCACCGTTCTGTTTCTTTTCCTCTTCACCCATTACACATCAGACTTCACCTACAACACAGACAGCTGCCATCTCCAGAAGTTCTCAGATGACTCGGCCATTGTAGGCTGTGTTTCTGAGGGGAACGAGCTGGAGTATTGATTGGTCATCATGAACTTTGTAGACTGGTGTGAGAAGAACCACCTGTGTTTTAACACCGGTAAGACCAGAAAGACGGTGATCGACGTCAGGAGAAGACCCATACCTGGGTGTTTATGTCAATAGCAACCTGGACTGGACTCATAACACTGACGCCCTGTCTGAGAAGTGCCAGAGCCCCCTCCACCTCCTGAGGAGGCTGAGATCCTTTGTAATGAGCAGTTCCTTGCTTAAAACCTTCTATGACTCTGTGGTGGCATCAGCCCTCCTCTACGCTGTTATCTGCTGGGCAGAAAGAGACTGAATAAACTGGTGAGAAAGGCCGCTACTGCCCTAGGCTGCACTCTGGACTCAGTGGAGGAAGTGGCTGACAGGAGGGCGCTGTCCAAGCTTGCATCCATCATGGACAACACCTTTCACCCCTTGCACCAGACTGTAGAAGAGCAAAGCAGCTCCTTTAGTGAAAGACTTTTACACCCTGTTTGTAAAAAAGAGCACTACTGCAGGTCATTCATCCCTGCTGCAACCAGACTCTACAATGCGACACAACGGCAATAACTTGTGCAACGTACAATGTGCAATTACTATTTGATACTCTGTGCAATAACCTGTCTCTCTATATTTGACACCCAGTGCAATAACTATATATATAAATATCCATCTATAGAAATACCCATGTAAACACCCCATGCAATAACCCTGTATAATGATCCTACTGTAAAAAAAAAAAAAAAAAAAAAAGCTGTCATATTTATGTACGGTGTATATCCCATGCACCTTTTTCTTCTTTTGATGTAACAAATACATTTCTCCACTGTGAGATCAATAAAGTCAATCAATAAATTTGCAAAAGGACAGTTGTATATCCTCTTGTAAAATGTGTGTCTATTAATTATATCTCAAGAATGTGTTATGATCTCATAAATACATTTGAAGAGACATGTTTTAGATCAGTAAATTAAACTTAAAGAGAACCAGTAATAAAGTCTGGTGAATTCAGAGGCCTTCCTCCGATCCCTTTTAGAGCTTACCTAAACAGCCACTCGCCTTCCCTGTCTGGTAGCCCTTTGTTCCATAAGTCAGGTGTATGTTGAGGTGAACGTAGGAAAATAGCCAGTATATTCAAATGTGGACAGTTGTTTTACACCCAAGGAGAATCATTTGTACTGAATTTACTATGCAAAGGCAAGCAAATTGCAGCTGACTAGAATCAGTTACAAAAGCAGGATTTGGTCTCTTGCTTAAGAGATCCTTACATTTGATAAACAACTTCTGTACCTGAGTCGTCTGCCAGAGAGATGGTGGTAAACGCCCCATCGTCCATGTAGGCCTCAGGGGCTTCTGTGTTGTTGTCGTCCTCCAGCTTGGATAGTTTTTTTTCTATTTGACACACTCCTTCATAAGTGTTTCAAGTTTCTGTCGTCCTCTTTTCTCCTGTTTTCTTTCACTTCTGCCCTTCCTGCTCAGGCACCTGCCGCTGCATTCGTCCATATGCCATTGGTTACCTGTCCTACCTGACTGGCAGCTCAGGTTACACCGCTGTCATGGCAACAACTGTCTAAAACACAGAGAGACAAGCCTACAGGAAAAATACCAAGGGTCAAAGATTAAACTCCAGAAGGCTCATGTGAAACGCAGTCATAATCGTGTGCTTAAACTTGACATTAAGAGTGCTTTTAGTGAGTTACATGTAAACAGCCTGCAGCTCACTGCAAGCGTTTACCTGTGGTTTAGCATTGCTTTATCTTATTTCAACTGAACATAGATGAAGGCAGCCACAGTCGGCCTATGGGAGCGCCCTCAGTTAACTGTCATGTTGCAGATTATGGACAAACTCTATCATGATTTAGTTGAGACCAATCTGGATTAAAGATTCACAAAATTCTTCATAAACCTTAAGAGAAATAGATACATGCATCGTGAAAAAAGTCACAGTAAAAGGGCAAACATGATCCTCTACCTCATACGATATAAAGTGATCCTAATCTTAGTTAATGTAAGTAAAACAATAAATGTAACCATCTACCTATTGAACAAGGAGATCGTTATATAGTACAATATATTTAAATTCAACATTAATATTCAGCAAACGTTCATAACAAAAATTAATGCAAGACCTTAATGTTAATCTAACACACTATCTTTGCAGTAATTACTAAATAATTAAGAGAAACACTAATAATCATAAGGTAAAACAAGAACAATTAACAACATCTATTCTACAAATTAAATTAAATACAAAGTAAAGTTCAAAGTTCTGCTAAAATGCTCAAGCTTTTTCCTCTCAAGCTAAAAGGAAAGAACTTAATCAAGAACTAGCAGGTATACCTTTAAATGGCTAAAGAAATGAAGTGGACTAGTCAAAGCCTGGACTTGATCTTAAAAAAATGCAGTGACATACTCTGAAATATATCTGTCTTGTCTGAAAACCGCTGGATGTACTAACGTTAAAATATGTTTTGAAGAGAGGGAACCACACAAACCAAAATACAGGATGAATATTCACAGGTTATCTTTATCTGGCATTAGGATTGGTTTGATTGTTGTGACAATAAAACTCAAAACTGAGAAATCAGTAAGGGTGGCAAACACTTTATAACAGCATTGTCGAGTTTTCATATACTTAAACTGATACTTCTCCATCTTTGGACACTCTATGAATCATGTTAGCTTTAAATAAATGTCTTGTCTAGAAGATTAAAGGCCAGACCTTTCTGCAGACAGTTTTTCTACAGGGAATATCTTAAAATCAAAGTTAAAAGAGGAGTTGGACGTTTCAGCCACAGAGATCAGTTGATCAATGCACAATGATAATTCAGGGAATGATTTGTATGTTGCCATTATTGGTGATTATACATTGCCATGAAATAAGTCTGTGTGCTCTTATCTTCATTAATCTTTTTTTAAATCTGTTTTTCCTGCATGTCCCCTTTACATGTAAATGCAATTACCTTTTCATGAACAAAGCATGCATCAGTTTTGCCTATGATAAGTATTGCACCAAGTAAAAAAAACAAAAAACAAAAAAAAATAATATTGATCCAATAAATGAGGTGAAATGGTTTGGTTTTCTTTATATCAACTTTAATCATTAATTTTAGTGTGCCTCAAGATTGTGATTTCAATACCACTGTTATGTCTGGTTTAAATTATCAGCCTTTTTAATAATGTCTCACATTCTCTTCTATGCAGATGATATTCAGTTATACATCTATTCTAAGCCTCCTATACTCTTTTACTGCATATCTAACTAAGGGCCACATGCATCAACTGACACGGGGGGAAACAAAGCAATCACGCTCATTAAATTCCTCATAATAGTAAAATAACAACATATAACAACATATTCTAAATACAATATACAAAGCTTGTATCAGATGCAAGCTATACAAAACAAAAATATTTGCTCAAGAAAAGATGAACCCCTCTCCAGTCTACCCCCTGGTGACCCCCTGCCTCACCCTTCAGTGGTCTGTTAATCAGTCCTAACCCCTGTATTTAGAAAAGGCAACAAAATTCAATAAAGTCGACACATAGATGCAGAATAATGCAATTTCACTTTAAAGCCAGCAATCTATTTCAGAGTGCGATAAACTCACCATGCTATAGCTCTCTTAAAAAGGCTGGTAGTCCATCCACTTCTACTCTTACACCTGCTGTGCAGCTCTCCAACAGGCATCCACAGAAAGACACAGGCAGGAGAGAACCAGAACCGACCTCTGGAGTTTTTAACAGTTGTAGACAAAAAAACAACAAAGAAATGTTTTGAAAGCTGTCATTCACTGACAAAGCAACAATAAACTTCTTTAAACAAATGAAAAACACGAAAGAAAAACCAAAGAGGGAAGAGAGAAGAGAAGTTATCCCATGTTCAACCTGTCACATCTGTCCTATTTCAAAAATTAACTTTGAAGAGCATCTTTAAAGTCTGTTTGAAAGACATGTTCTGTTTTTTTTTTATTTTGATTGATTTTGGGTTAATTCATGTAGATTTTGATTTATTTAGGTTTCTTTTTTGTTAAAATAAAACAACATGGAGATTATTATACATGGAGATTTATATGTACACGTACATTTAAGATTTAGCGTGTTAAGTTGTCAACTCATGAGCAAGCTGCTTTTTGCAATCCAGCAGGAAGGTAAAGATAGGATCTTGCAGGTGTGACGTCACTCTGCAGGGGGTCCAAAGATAAAAGATTTAAACAATTTTGGCATTGGAATTTCAGATTTAAGGGAGTTAGAAAGTTCACTTAGTAAAAGTGCAAATAATTAATCTGATTACCGATTACTTTTAAGCTGGTTGAACATACTGCGACAGACTGGTGACCTGTCCAGGGTGACCCCACCTCCCAAGAACGTGGCTGGAGATATGCACCAGCACCTCCTGATCCCACTGAGGGATAAGGTTAAAGAAAATGGATGGTTGAACATAGTCCGTTCTCCCAGATTCTATCAAATCAGTATTGATACCCTCAGGGGCGGATTTAGGAAATTTGGGGCCCTAGGCAAAGACAGGCAGGGGGGCCCCTGAGAAGAAAACCCATAAAACAGACCCATTCTACAGATAGAGAAATGTTAATAGAATAGACATCCATTATTTGTTCTAGGTTTTGTCCCTCTCTTCTTGTCCCTTTTTCCTCTCTATTTATCAGCGTTCTGATGGCATTTTAGCCAAAGGATTTTTATCAAAAACATAATTAATGTGCACAAATAAGGATTAGTTGTATTAACCATACATGGAAACAGAGTTTTATGGGGCCCCCAGGAACTTGGGGCCCTAGGCAACTGCCTAGTATTGCCTAATGGTAAATCCCCCCCTGGATACCCTGCTAGTTGATGTTCTTGACAGAAAGACGGAGTTGCTTAATCATATTCTGCTTAAGGCCCCATAAGATCTTGTCCGAGTCCTGGTTTAAAAGTAAATTAATTTTAAAAAGTGACCCAAAATTGACTGTCAATAAATGTTCTACAAAATTGATATATTTATTTGATTTCTTTGATTTGTACTGTCTGTTTAGATTTATGTGATATTTTTTGCACAAAATATATAAGTGAATATTGTAACAGTTATGTTTTCAACTGTAAGCATTAAATTGATAAATGTTATTCGCATTTTTTTTGGCTTTATCCTTTCCAACAACAAAAAAAAGGCGTCGCGCAGGTAGCTCCCTTTCCTTATGAGCCGTCCCCACCAACTTTCAACACAAAGTTACACCCTTGGTTGAAAAGAATTTTCAGCTGAATTGAGAAAAGTCAGATCCTTGTTTCTACCTTTAGTAACAGAATGTAGATGTGTAAGTCTCTGATCAGCACCACTAGAATAGATTTGAACTGGTTTTAACTTGGATGATCATGTCACACCTTTGGTTTACACAGGTTATGAAATATTGCTTATTCAAGACATATTTCTGCACTACTACAACTATTAACGGTTTTCATGGGTTATTTCTTTCAGATTATTGATTAATTTGCTAAACAAAAGATCCTTTGGACTGTCTTCATGTCTTCTAAACAAAAGCATTTCCTTCAAAACTTTTACACGCATAAGTCCATGACAGCACCTTGATGTCTCATAACAACAACTCTAAACCTATTTCCCTTACAGTTTAAAGCACAGAAAATGTATCCTGTCAGGAATTAATCAGATTTATTTGTTACTCTGTTATCCCATGTTTTTAACCCTGTGGAATGTCTGGAGGGTTTCAATGTTTATATCAAAGGTAAGGATTATAAGTTTTAGTCACCTAAAGCCACTTAATATCATGAGAGTTGAGGTGTTAAAAAACATAGGAAGCCTTTTTATTTGCATTTTAGCAAGGGCCCGCCACAGCAAACACAGATTTCCAAAAGCAAACTCCCCCTGATCTAGCTAGAGAAACACAAACATGCTGATGTGCTCTCTCTGCAGCAGAGACGGACAGATGGACGAGTGCTCTTTTACAGCCTCTTCTGCTCTCAGTGCGCTAATGTGTCTGCCTGTGCATGTGTGTTTGTACGCCCCCTATGCCTAGCATAACGCTGGCAGCGAGATGATGCCAAAGTGGGCATCTGGTCTGTGGACTATCACGGGGGAGAAGAGACAGAAAGGAACTAACAATCTCTTCTCCTTGGCTCCTTCCTCACACAGATCTGGATGATGCCACCCATCTCTAATCATGCAGACCAGACTCTCAGGGAGAAGAACGCTCCAACCAAGTGACCCGACAGAAAAACAACCTGTGGATTGAATGAGAGGGCTGGATACAATTTAGCTGTGCCAGTAGATCTATCTATCTATCTATCTATCTATCTATCTATCTATCTATCTATCTATCTATCTATCTATCTATCTATCTATCTATCTATCTATCTATCTATCTATCTATCTATCTATCTATCTATCTATCTATCTATCTATCTATCTATCTATCTATCCAGTTCACTCTGTAGTCCATTTCAGAGTTTGCAGCCAACCAGCAGAGGCAACAGAGTGAATTTACCCTCCATGTTTCCCCTCCTTCTCCTGA